ATTCCCTCACTTGTCTCCAAAATCTCTTCAAGTTTATCTATTCTTTCTAATGGCCTCATCATCCCGCCCTAAGATTCCTACAAGAAGAAGATCTGCACCTTCTTCTCTTTCCCGTCCTAATTCTGTTGAAGGATGGATTTCTGATACGGAAGGGCAACAAGAATTTCTGATGTACTGGAAGGAACGTGCCATCATTTCTCCTAAGTTTCTCATTGGTGAGCAATTTATACATAGAGGGTTTAATTTTCCAAATCTTCTTGAAATTCAAGGAGTTCTCCCATTTATCCAAATGCAAGGTACTTACTATCCTGACTTAGTTAGGGTATTCTTTTCTAGATTTAAGTTTAGGGATCAAATTGCTACATCCCGTGTCAAAGGAGTGACCATAATTCTAGATGATGATATTTGGGAAAATGTTGCTCACTTCCCAATTAGAGAAGATGCTATTAACATTTATGGTGAGCTAGATGATTTTGACAGGTTCCTAGCTTATAGATCTTTTCTGCGGAATCCCTCCATGGAGATTGGACGTATTCTTCATGCTGGACCCTTGAAGAAGGAAGAACGCATGATTCTTCATTTGCTTGTCTGGATTTTATGTCCCCGGGCCACAAATCATGCCCAATGCTCTTCTATTGATCTTCGCATTATTCATGCCATAATGAATAATGAACCTTTAGATTGGGGTGTTCTTGTCACAATGACAATGTTAAAGGCCAAACGTCATCCAACATTCAAAATTCCATATGCTCTTCTTGTATCCCGAATTCTTGAATATAAAGGAGTCAATGTCGAAGGTGAACAAGTTGTCCGAACTACTAACTTGAACCGCATGCTGGACAGCACTTTGATTCATCTACAAATGGTGCTCGGTCAATGACATCTATGTTCATAAAGATGACGTCCAAAATCAAGGTGATGCAATTGAAGACTCGGATGAAGATATGCCTCCAAGCAACTGAATTTCCCTCTACCCAAATCCAAAGTGTTGGAACATCCTCTTCTCATCAAGAAACAAGACAATCCATGGAAGATATGCTTTCCGACATGAATCAAAGAATGCAATCATTCTTCAATCTTTCTGGTGTACGCCATGATGAAATTATTCATCGTATATCCGATGTAGATGATAGAGTGGGTAGATTAGAAAATAGATTTGATACTCACTTTAATGATGAGGATAGTGAAGAATTTTAGATTTTATTTTATATCTTTGTATTGTAATGAATGAATGATTATGAAATAAAATTTGATGTTTCTTTCATGCTATGATTGAGGGGAAGCTTTCTCTAACTTATGCATATTTTGAGGGGGAGCTCTTATGATTGATGTTGCAGAGTTCTTTTTTATTATAATCAAAATAGGGGGAGAAAAATTTAAAGCCTATGATTCAATATTAATTTTATCTGGTATGTTTAATGTGTTTGTTAGTATGACAGATAAAACAGGTTATTACAAGGGCTTTAAAAAGATAATTTTGATCATCATCAAAAAGGGGGAGATTGTTGAACATTCAAGGACTTGATGTTGCAAATAATGATCATGAAGAATGTTGATTTTGATGATGATCCAAGAGCTTAAAGACTTAGAGTATTGAAGATTGAAGATTGATGATTTCTGTATTGTAATAACTCTGTTTTAGTTTGATTGAGTCTATAATTATAGAATCTAAGATAGCCGGTACATAGTCTGTAACTTAGATGCTTCAAAATGCTCAAATTTATCATGCAGGCTCGACTTTAATCGATTATATAGGTAAATAATCGATTAAAACAGTGAGAAAACCACTTTCTATACAAAGTCACTGTTTTAATCGATTAAACAGCAAAATAATCGATTATTTTGTACTGTTCCGTACAGATAATCGATTATTTCACCAAATAATCGATTAATCCAGAGAGGTTTGGGTTCTGTCGTATTTGGCTCTGTTTTAATCGATTATCACTCCAAATAATCGATTATTTCAGTCTGTTTTTCATTTTAAATTTCAAATTAACCCTATTTTCGAAAACCCAATTACCAAGAACCCTAGTTTCGAAATCCCCAATTTTTAAACCCTAATTTCCCTACTTAAACTCTGCTTTGGCACTCGTGAAAATAAGAACAACTCTTTCCATACAAAAGTTAAGTGCTGTGAGTGCCAGAGAACTGTTTGTTGCAAGGAAAGGGGGCTTTTGGAACCTGGTGTGGGCTAGAAGCGATAAGAATCACTAAGTGGAGTTCTTAGTGGATTGTGTGTTGTGCCGTCTCTGGGGAAAGCTGTTCTTCATCTCTTGTGGATTTCAAGAGAGGTGTTGTCTTTACTTTATCTCTTTGATTTGTAAATTGTTTGTAACAATTTGTTCTTAGTGACAGCGTTAATCCTCTTTTGAGTGATTAGCAACTGGACGTAGGGTCTTTTGATCCGAACCAGTATAAACCTACTGTGTAATCTTCTCTACTCTTCTCTATTTACATTTACGCAGTTTTTAATCGGTAAAATTTGGGGAAAATTTTGAAAACCTAATTTTTATTAAGAAACCAATTCACCCCCCCTCTTGGTTTTTGTCCGACCACGCGAACATTCCGCTGCGCGATTCTAACATTCTCCACACCCAAAACCCGTGCGCCGCACCGCACCAACTACAGTGTGCCTCTGAACCCCAAGTCGTCGAGCCACCACCATTAACAGTCCTAATCCCACGCCGTCACCGCAAAACAACCACACTCAGCGCGAGCTCCACCGCAAATTAATCTCTAGCCCCGCACACCACCCTCATCTTCACCTTGCGGAGCCACCCAGAACCACTACCCAAATCCCATAACCACTGCATCATCTCCCACTCACAAACCACCACCAAGCGTCCCAAATAGTCACTCTCCCTCGATTTGGGAATTTGGGAATTTACCCCAAATTCGAAACTAGGTTTTAAAATTGGGAATTTTACCCCCAAATTTAAATTTAGGGTTTACAAAAATTGGAGATTATTCTCCACTTAGGGTTCTGAATTTGAATAGAATATTTGATAAATGTAATTTCCAAAAACAAACATGAATCAAGTATGAGTTGCTCTGATACCAATTGTTGGGAAAACTGATAATTAAATATGATCTTCTTCCTAATGATCAAACATATATATATAATCTCATACTGTAAACATGTTATAAACTAAATGCGAAAGCGTACCTGAATTAGACATAATGATAATATTCTCTGTAGAGCACCTTTGATTTGATCTTATGGTCTTCCACCTGAAGAGCACCTGTATTTCCCTCTTGATTTTCTCTCTTGATGGGGATAGAAAGAAAGGAACGGGACTTTAACTATGTTCTGTCTACGTGCTCTCAGAAGGGGACCATGACCCTTTATATAACCAAAATTAGGTTAATTACTTGAGTTTTAGTATTTTCAATTCGGCCCCTCATCAAATTAGAAATTACTTTATGGTCTCTACACAATATTATTTTCATGACATATGCCTTTAGCCAAAACTTTAATTTATTCATATCACTTTATTATTTGGCTTAATAAATAATGACTCTAACACATTTAAATATGTATCATATATATACATGACCCAAATTTTGCCAACAAGATCGACCATGAAATGTTCAACCCAAAACAATTTTCATAGTGTTCTCACTCAAACTCCAATGTTGGATTATCTTGTTAGTTCCACAAATCTATTATATCTTTACCCGAAGAAAACTCAGCAATCATGTTTGTTTCTCTACTCTTAATTGTAAGTAATTTTTATGAATGCAAACATGACATGATGGTTGTTCTTGAAACAAAAAATATTTTTGAGAACCTTTTAGTAAAATAAAATGATTATATATCCATTAAACACTTTTTCGATAAACAATCAATTTCCAAACCAATCTCTAATGGAACTTTGACATAATTGTTCTCATAGATAATGAAAAACAAATCACACTAAAAATTTGATAATGATATAATATATAAATAATTATAATCTTATTTAACCGATTTTAAAGAATCAAGTTATGAATCTTACCCTTTTAAAATATTAAAATAATATGTTTTATTCTTATAATTCCTCTAAACAATTTAATATAGTAAACATTTTTATTAACCATGAAATAAACCATACTAATAAGTTTAGATTTTTAATTTTTAATTTTTTATAAAATATATGCACAATTAATTGTTCATGTTGTTAAAGAAGGTAAATGAAAAATTTTCCAATTAAAAAGTATCTACTTTTTTTAAATATGTAGTATTTTTTTATTAAAATATAAAGAAATTGAAAATATTAAGCTGTTTATTTAATATTAAATATTAAATAATCTTACCAAAAAAAATCATCTTACCAAAATATATTAATAAAATAATATATACTAATAGAAACTGAAAGTTTCATTACTTGCATCACTAATTTTTGTAAAAAAGAGACTTGTATTTGTTCAATAAAGAAAAAAAAAAAGGCAAAGTAATTTTATTTTTTATTTTATGGCATATAAAACTTCAAATTTCACACAGCACACAGCTCATGATTCAATCCAGTAACTTGTATAATTAATCGCACGTGCCATCATCAATCATACCAATTCCACGTGGCATTCATGCAAATTCATGTCCTTAGGTTGAATGTCAATTTCAATAATAAATATAAGAGTTTAATGTTTATCAACAAATTATGGAAAAGAATATGCTTTTTAAGATAACGTGATAAAAATAAACACACTTATCATTCATATAGAAAGGTTTATGATTAAATAATTATATAGTATGAAATAATAGATTTCTTTCTTACAACATAAAAAAGAAATAAATGAATAAATAAATACTTCAATAATAATACCACTTGCAAGCTTGAGATCACAAGGAGATGGACCCAACCAAGACGCATTATTAATATTATTATTAAAAGTATAAGTTGATAACTAATGGTATAACATATAATTAATTGAAAACCCAATATATTAATATAATAATATATATTAATATAATAAATTATCAATTAATCATACATTATAATCAGTTATTAACCTATTATTTATTTTTTATTCAAGTGACCACAAAAAACCTCCATAAATGGCATCCCTAATACCTCATCCACCATTTGATCACGCCACGTGTCTCTCATAGCTTCATTCAACCGTTGGATGAATCCCATCTTGTATTTCTCACAATAACGCAACAAACGTGCAACACGTGTAGGGTCCTTACCCTCCCACCACCAACCCCCACCGCTAGGCTCCTCACATTCCAGCATTTTCCCGCGGTCCGCCACCACCTCGCAGCGGAAGCCGGCCATCTCCGCCACGTACTCCACTATGCCATCAGCAAGCCCTTGTGGGGCCCCGTCCCACATCCAAACCCTAGCCATGCCACGTAGGATTGCACCCACTATGGCCATTTTATCGTACCCTTTGTCTGCGAGTAACATAGGAGTAATCTCAATGACGTAGCTGTTGGAGCTTTTTCCACCACCGTGGTGGAGGTTCCCGGCGGCGTAGACGGCGACGGTGGCGTTGAGGTTCCGTTTAGGAAGGCGAAGTGTGACTTTATCTATGTGTTTCTTCGGGTAAACATTATTATTAGGGTAAAGGAAGTGTTCCACGTAGGAGCTTGTGTTGAGGATAATGCGAGTGGCTCTGTCGTTTGAGACATAGGAGAGAGCAAAACGACGTCCCGCGGGGGAATCTTTGGCGTCGTTTACTATGGAAATGTTGAACGCTTTGGATGCTTCGTAGTTGGCCCATATTGAGATTAGGGCTAGTGAGAGAATTGCGAGGATTCCGATGATGTTGTTGTTGGTGTCGGAAGTTATGTTTTTGAGATTGTGATGATGGTGTGAATGGGAGGAGGAGAGAGTGGAATAATGGGGTATGAAAGGTTGGAGGAGGGAGGGTTTGTCTTCCTCCATTAATTCAAGGGAAATGATGGGAGAGATGATGCATTGCAACTTTGCATATTTGGGGTATATTATAAAGTTTAAAGATTTCATTTTTTGGACACATTTTTAAAATTTTATTTGTAATTGTTAATATGAGTTTCACAAGAGGTTATTGTAATTTTATTATATGCCATATTTTATACTTGAATGCCAAAATTACTTGACACTGTGAATGCAAAATGTATTTTTTTTAGTTATAAATTTTAAAAACATACGTTTGGGTCTCTCGTTTTATTCTTACACCTTAGTTATCAATAGAGATATAATGTTCCAATATTTTTATAAGTTTCATATCATTAAGAAACTTATATATTATTTTATTTTAACCCACCAATCTTTTCAAGACAGAATCCAATCAAAATGAAAAATATCCCACAACAATTTAACCTAATAATATTATTATATCATAATTTCTTCTTCTTACACGAAACGTTACAGGTAAAATTGTTTTTATTAAATTATTTATCATATGTTTCTCTTTTGTTCTTTCTGTATATATATATATATATATATATATATATATATATATATATATATATATATATATATATATATATATATATATATATATATATATCTTTGTGTTGATTTGATTTGTACCCGATCAATATTCTGTTGTGTCTATCAGTCAAATTCACATGGATTTTGATGATTTCATAAAATAATTTTTTTTTTATACTTTTCACGGTCTATATTGTTTTAATTCTAAATTAAATAATACGAACATAAAAATAACTATTTTTTAAAGTTTTGAATGGAATTTAAACAAATTTTAAATTCTTAATAGGTTTTTGGATGGATGTCTTATGTTTTCTTCTTATCGAGTGGAGAATTTTTTTAGAAGATGAGAGAGACAACTTATGTATTTAGTTTACTTAAACTTAATCTTATTAAATATATTTATTTATATATTTATAAATTTCACTTCTATTTTTTTCGTATTTTCAAACAAATCCAAACCCTTCTTTAATTTTCAACTTTTAAGTTTCGTGTGCGACCCTATTTGTAATATTTATTTAAGTATCTTTATTTGTAGTTATAATTTGAGGTTATGTCTCTGGGTAAGAGGGTTATTGATATTGTAAGTTTGGTTGGTGATGGTAGCTTGTAAGTTTGGTTGGTGATGGTAGTTTTAAGGGGTGAGAATGTTGTTCATGAAGAGACTTTGGTTAGAATGAGGGTGGTTGTGCAGAAACCCATCTTGTAAAACTTCAAAATACATTGATAAGTTTCATAAAGATTTTGTTTTTATGAGGAGGGATTGGTTGGTGAGGTTGAGGAGTAGTTTCCCACGTGAACCTCAACTGCCACCATTTGTAATGTGTCATGGAAGCTTGGATTTTTATGTGCCTCACTTTAAAAATTATCTATTTGGATTCATTAGTTGGTTTTCCCTTCCCATAACATCAAAACGATGCAGGGGGAGTTAATAGCTGCAAGAGGGGTTGGTTGTACTCAGGTTTGCTTCTTAAATTTTGGTTCATTTTTTCTTTTCAATTTCTAACTTTTTATTTGGTTTCGTGTTTTATTTTGAACACATAGTTTGTGAAGGAGTAGTGTTGTTGACTTTTAAAGCTTCGTTCTTTCTTATATATTATTTATTAGACCATATATGTGACTAATTATTTCTAATCACATATAAGATGTAAAATTTGTTTATAAAAAAAATAATAAAAAATATATATTTTTTATTCACCTAATAAAATATTTTCTAAAATAAGAAGCATGGGCGTGAAAACAAATATTAAAATTCATTAAATTGAAACTCCACGATAAGCACTTTTTAGGAGCAGTTACGCGTGGCTTGATTGAGTCGATTTTTGAAAAATTTTATTCAGAGTGTCGATGTCGTATCAAGGAATAATCATTACAGAATCACTTATTAAGCCGACATGGTGTCTTTCGGAAAGTGCTTTTCTGATCCTTTTTGGAGTGTTACCAAATAAATAAAAGACCAAACATGGCTTAGATAAGATTTGTGATAAATGAGTTTTTTTAAATAATGTCGTTCAGTTTAAATAATATGCACAAGTAATATTAACAATTCTACTATTATTATCAGTTTTTTTTTCCTCACTACTAGTATATATAACTTTTTCTTAGAAGTGATGTGAATATTTAAAATTTGAATAATTTTGACAAGACAAAGTAGTGAAAGTGAAAGTTTTTGGTATTAATTAATTTACCCGTAATTGTAGGGAGGGAAAAAGTAAAAAATGTATCCAACATTCACACACAATTATATATATGTAACCTTCATCACAAGATCAAATCAGAGAGAACCCTTTATGCACTTTTTTCTTCTTTCTTTTATCCTTTTATCACAGTTTAATTAGAAAAGTGAAACCAAATTAACAATGAAAATATTATTGTGAAAAATTGAAAAAAATAATATAAAATAAAAGGATAATGGGAAAAGGCCATAAACTTACAAAGGAAAAACAAAAGCAATGTACGGTGTAAATATCTACTGAAGAAGCCCCTCACATAATTGCTACTTTTTCTACAAAGTGTTTCTATCATGTATGTCATATTAATGGTTTTGTACCTATCTCCTTTTCTAGTACACAAACCCTTCCCCACCCTCAAATAAAATAAAGATCAAATCCAAGCAAAATCTAATGCACTCTCGTTCTTGTTCAAGATAACTGCTTTTCCAAAATTGCTAATAATGGCCATAGAATGAGGCAAAACTGTACAAATGTAGCTGATGTGGCAGCTGAAGCAGCTGAGCCAGAGGGGTTCTTGGGCACAGGTACTGAACCAAAAACATTTGCACCACTTGTGTTTGTTGTGTTCAACACTGATGAACTGATACTGCAATTTTAAGCATCATTTATGTTAAGAGATTTGTCACAAATAGTATCAAGAAGAGAGAAGAAAGAACATATGGTTAAAGATTGTCACCTAGTGGATGCATATTGACATGTTTCACTACCTGCAATGCAAGATGATAAAATGTATTAGACAGCATTTTATCTCAAGGGTCCTTATTAAAGTAAACATTTGTTGCTATGCACATAATGTTTGAAAAACAATTTGTGATAAATAGGATTGATTGGTTACCTTAGAAACTGAGAAAATACCTTAAACAGGAGGCTTTTGAGTTACGTTCTCTATAAAGTAGGGAAAGAAAAAAGCATCATTCAGTGGCACTTTTTTAGTTCCTATGTATTACCCCAAGGCACTTTCAAAGTGCATTCAAAGATGCAGTAAAATATTTCCAAAAAAGATGATGCAGTAAAAGCTTATTTTATTTCCTGCTGTCTGTGCAGAATGGAACCCAAGAATCCTCCAGAGATAGTTATGATATCCAATCAGAGCCTCTGGGCCTGTGCTTCTCTTTGGTTTCCAGCACAGCACCTAGTGTTCTTGACTTGTTGCACATTTTGAATTGTGCCTCTTATTCTTAAATTAAAAAAGTTGTCACCTACCCTTAACCTTTGTCAGAATGTTAAAGTTCTTTGTAATCAGGGAAAACAAACTCTAAATTCACATGATTATATTACATTTTGAAGTGTTCACCATTCTCTGTATAAATCTTTAAAATAAAAAAATCAAAACAAGAATTTTTTTTTTTTCAATTACTTGTGAAAACAGAAAAATTTATATTCTCAAATCAAACCAAACATGTCTAATATTCTTCTAAGAAGTAGTATTAACTCTCAAACATGATACTGAGAATAATAACACTTACAATCATAACATTAGAAGGCTTACTTGGATTAGTGCTAGTGATGACAGCAACTCCACCAAAATTGCAGCTATTAGGAACAGGGTTCTTCTGATAATACTTATTGAAGGCATAAGAAGCATGATCTTTTACAGAGTTTGGAAAGTAACAGCTTCCACCAGGTTGAATTGCAGAACAATCAGTGGCACCATATCCACAAGCATAGTCCAATGCAACTTGCAAGGCTCTCTGTGAGGCAGTAGGACTTGCAGTGCACCAGCTTGCACCTGAGGAATAAATTGGGGAGTTATTTGGTGTGGTAGGAGTGGTGATTGGGAGTGTGGAGGCTGGAGACACTGTATCAGGGTTGGAATTAGGATTCAGGATTGGAGATGTTGAAGAGATGGGAACTAAGTTGGGAATTGTAGTGATTGGTGTGGTGATGTCCCTTTGAGAGGTGGACTTTGAGGCTGTAAATTCTAGTTGTTTTTCTTTATCATGACTTAGTACATTCACATGTCCCTGTGCTTCCTTGTGTGTCCTACTTGAACCTGTATTTGAAACAACAGTTACAAGTAAGGTTATTTTATGATTGTTATTATTATATTATTTATCTCTGTAAGCATGTGATTCTGCATCTCTAATGGTGTACCATTTCTTTTAGTTCTTTACTCACTACTAGTTGGTGTTATTATCTCCATCAAATTTAAAAGAACTTCAGCAATTTTCTACTTTAATGATACATTTGCTTAAAAAGCTTAAACAAATCTGACATATAACACCATATTTTCATACCATATATGCTCAAAAAAGTAGTATTCTAATGTTAACAATTGGTTCTTGTTTGAACAATTTCTTAGACCATTTCAAATTGTGAGAGGGGTGCATGATCTCATTTTCCCCCCTCCAACTTTTACATAAAATTTTAGACATTTTCTTTAGGGGGTTAAATGTGGTGGCTGGATTCAAAGTGTTCTTATAGCTTTGAACTTGGCATGAAACCAAAAGTGTCCTTGTATTCAAAATTTAGCATAATTGCATAGAAACTTAATTATTGGCCCCTTCTCCCTTATTGTGTATTAAAAAGCCACATGTTATAACAGTCGATCTAGAAAGGCCACTAGAGACAAGTAGGGTATCTTTTGCATAGAGACATGAGCCAAAAAAAGTTGGACCCTTGCATCTTTTCAGGAAACGGTGGAACTGGAGAAAGATTGAATACAACAACTCCATGTGAAACTGCAGTATCAACCGAAATGCAGAAAAGACAGCACTTTGAACAAGTCATACTATTATGATTATTATTATTTAAAAAATCATGGATAGAAAAAAGTGTTCAATTGGTAAACTGCAGTGCAACATAAAGAGCATGATAGAGGGGAAATAAAATTTGGAAAAGATAACTGCACCCAATTGATCCAACATGTGTATCTAATAAACTTGAGCAACAACAAAAAAGAGGAAAGAAAAAAGGGCCAAAACTATTGAAATCCCAGGCTCAGGTGCAGGAGATGCATTTAGGTTACAGAATGCAAAAACATTATCCAAGTTGTCCAAAGAATCTATGACTAAAAGAGAAAAGCAGAAAATAATATGTCAAAAAGGTAAAGAACACATAGAGGAACATTATCTTAAACCAGAAGAAACTTAGTTTTATATTATATCATAGAATAGAAGAGTAGAGTGAAAGGAGCCAGACGAGCAAAAGGGGAGAAGCAAAAATAGACCATAGAAAGAAAAGAGAAAACTAAATTACCTGAACAAAGGAAATGACCAAGTAGAAGAAGTAGCACATAGTAGTAATTCACACTTCTGTCCATCTTTAGTCTTGCTCTTGTGCTGCTTTGTTCCTTCTTCCTTCTCCTCTTTGTTCCTTCTTCTTCAATGTGGCTCCCAAATAACACTTGTTCTTCCCTTGAAAAAGCTAGAGAGAAATGAAGATATCATAAACTAGAGATGGGGAGTGGTGTTCAGGCAAAAGGTGTTTGTTTAGAGGGCTAGTCATGAGAATGAAAACATATACATATTTATAGAGTATGTGAAGTGAGAGAGACAAGGAAGGAGAGGATTTGAATTAGGAGACATGGTGTGTAGGAGGGTGCAAGCAAGAGAAGGAGGGAAAAGGTGGGGCAGAGGGTTGAAAAGAAAGTAAAGATAGAATGGAATTGTTTGGAGTTGAGGGTGAGTGTGTGGGATGGTTAGTGATGATTGTAATGATGGTGCTGATGTGTGAGTTGCAACCTTTCTCTATTCTATGCTTTTCTTTTCACTGTTTTATAGGACTTAATATTATTGATAGTATTATTCTTTTCCTTTACTCTCTTTTTCTTTTCCATTCCCCTTTATTCTTTGTTCATTATAAAACTTCCTCCAATATGTCAATAATATGATGTATAAATCAAATATATTATTGTGTGTGTCTTTGATTATGCAATTGCAAGTGGAGTTTTTGTTATTGGGACATAGAATCTATACACATCTATTATTTCATAACGATCATTCTATTATTGTGTTGTGATATTTCTCAATAAAAATATACTGATTTTTAATCAAGTTTAAATATAACAATATCAATATTTTATAATCAAATATGTGGTTATCTTATGAATTTAAAGTTAAATTAAATCAAAGTTGATTTAATATAATAATATATTAACTATAAAATAAGTTATTTGATAGTTATAATTTTTATATAAAAAAGAAATAAAGATTATCATCATCCTTAAAGTAACGGTAAGAAATCTAATACAATAACGAGTAAAAGTAGGAGTGAGACTACGAAAACTATTATTTTCTAAGTTTAATGTAACTGTATAAAAAAATTAAAAATATTTTACTTTTTAATAACAAAATTAATAATTAAACTATTTATCAAGAAAATTTTATCTTTTCAATTAAATATTTATATAAATGAAAACAAAATATAACTTTAGATAATAAGATATTAACGTGTTTGATCTATTTTAAAAGCTGAATTTGACCTACTTAATCGATTAAATTGAAAAATAGTTTTGAAATTGAGTTATTATTCTTAAATAATTATATTTTAATTAAATTCATTTAAAATAAAAAAAATAATATGAAATTAGAATAATTGATTAAAATTTTAAGTTGAAATAGTTTTGATAAAAATAAAATTTAAAGATAAATTTATTTATTTATTTTAATATAATGTTTGTATAAAAATATAATATTTATTAATTATAAACTTATTATTTTATTAATATAATAAATATTATAAAAATATTATTTTATTAAATTTAAATATATTTTTATTAAATTTTAGTTAAATATTTACACTTTAAATTTATATTTTGATTGATTTAATGATCTATTTAATTTTGAAAATATTAATTTGATTTATATGTTAATTTTTATTTTTATTTTTGGATTTTGCTAACATCTTTTAAAAAAAAATAACATTGAGGTGATTGACACATCAAGATTTGTTCCTAGGATAAGTCAAATCTCATTTTAACTTTCTATTTTTAATGAATCAAATCTTTGAGCTGACCCCAACCGCAAGTGCCGAAATGTGTTGATAACACCTCAGAATCAATCCTTACCACATACATACATGGATGGATCATCTCAAACCTAGAAGAATGCAACAACATTCTTTGCAAATTAACTTCATCATTAAAACTTATTTTATAAAAATTGGTTTCAATTTTATATTTTAAAAGTTAATAGATTAATTAAAACGTAAATAAATTATGATTTTTTTTGTCTTTTTAACAAATTTTATAATAATAAAAATATACTACTAAATATGAAATTTAGCTAATTAATTAAAAACATTTTATTCCCTTTTAACGATTTTATTAAAAGGAAAAATTGTAATTAGATATTAGATTTATGTATAAAAAAAGAAAAAAAATCATAATTTTTTAAAAATAGAGGATCATATTAATCAATTTAAAATAATAAAATCCAAAATAAATTTGTGAAAAATATAAGAATAATAAATATTTTACTCTAAATTAAATAAATAGTTGGCTCAAAATAACAAATTTTTTTTATTAATAATATAAATTAAAATTCATATGAAAATATCTAATTTATATATTAGATTTACAAAATAAGTTTTTTATTTTTTTTATTTTCACCTTGTAGTTTTAATTTATTTTATCAAATATATAGAATGTCTCCTTATTATTAAGTTAATAGAACTTTTATTTACTTTATTATTAGTTCTGATTTTACTTGTTTTTAAATATCGGCATTTAATTTTTTGGTTTTTTATTTAATGGTAATTTTCAAAGATCTAAATAACATAAATTACTTTTCTTTTCTGTTATACCATACTCTTCTTCTAATATAATTAGTTTATATATAAATATTTAATGTGATATAAAAATAAAAAAGATAAAATTAAGATATTATAACTAATTTATTAAGATAAAAAAAATTACTATATTATTTTATTTATGAAAAAAATTAAACGATATTTAAAAGAAAGATGACATGGATTCAAAAGCAAGTGTGTCCATTCCAGTGGTCCGTTTTGCCTAGCCGCTAATCCGATGGACCGAAAGTTTTTTTTTCGTTACTTAACTAATAAAATATTAAAAAAATTGTTATCTTTGTTAAAATTATTTCAGTCCTTATATTTTAAAAATTAGTAAATTAGTTATTAAATTAAAAGAAAAACATAATTATAATTCCTGAAACATATAATTTTAAAAATTGGAAGATTGAGTCGATGAATTTTAAAAAATATAAAAAAAATACATGTATAAAAAATAAATTTTCCTAAACATTTAATTATGTATTTGAAAATTGAGTAAAAATGGTTTACTTTAGTCGTTTAGCAATCCTATTTAAAGAAGAGTTGAGGTGTTATTAATTTAGAGAAGTTTTGAGTGTGGAACATTATCTCAGTATCTGGGTATGGTATGGTACGGTATGGTATTGAACAATATACTTTCTCAAGGGGATCATATAATATGACCCCCTCCTCTTGTTAATAGAAAAACCTATGGTTAGAGTGAAAAGAAGGGACATTTCTACAATCTTTCCATGGCATGAATCATGACAGGACTAGCAGTAAGAGGTGAGTGGCCTGCTAGGAGGTCACATGATGAGAGGGAACTACTGAAACCACTTCCTGGACTAAGAAATACTAGGAGGTCTCTTTTTGGTTCCATCTGAAGTGACTTGTTTTATTGCCTTTGGCAAAGACCACAGTGGTCAGCACCAAATACCTCCTTTCGGCTACATAGAACCCTGAGTACGTGCATTACGACAAGAAACATAATAGAATCTCGAAACAAAATTATTGTTTTACTTTTGCGTTAATCACGATGCCTAACTCAGACTAACTTAACCCCGTGTTCATTTGCTCCACACCAGATAACTTACGTCATAATTGCTCCGCTTCACATGCCTTTCTCATCATATCATCATACGGGGATATCACCATGTATGTGGGTCCCCATTCCCTTGAAATCTATGTATAAAAATGCGAATTAGCTTATGCTTGCAGCTTAAAAAATTTTACACCTTACCTAAGAAAAGGGTGTCCCCCAGTAATACACAATAAAAATAACGAAAATTAGGACTACAGATGACATGTTATAAAAGTATGTACAATTGAATTAACGCTCAAGCATCTGAATGAAAATATAATATCACCATAAATATAAATTCACCTGAACCCACAGGAATAATTCCTTGCACAAAAAGAGAAGAATGACAAGCAGAACGAATACTGTTAGTTGTTGTGCTGCCAAAATTGATGCAACTGCTTGGATGACAGATCTTGAACACCACCTGGGTGCTGAAGTTCTTCTAAAATCCGTGGCTGAGAATGATTAAGGTTAGAATATCCAGGACTAGCATACTGTGACAAGGAAGCCTGATTTGCCTGCCCCAGAAAGTTATTATACTGGGCTCTCTCTGGGACAAACGAAGATCTTGACTCAGATCCATAGTCCCAGGGAGAAAAACTACCATGCTGCTTAAAAGAACGACAGAAAACCATTAACCTAAATGATGAAATTATAGAACAGACTTTAATAGTGTAGATTATGTCAAGGACAATGTATCAGACTTCGGGAATAATCCTTAATATTAATGTTAATTTTATTTTATGAAAATAATTCTACGTTTTCTTATTTTCTTTTTCTACAAGATTTTATAGAAAAGTTTATTCAAATAAATCCTAGTCAAGTACGATGATCACACTTTGGGATAATAACACATCCATCAGAGTTGCAGAGCAGTTAAAGTCATTTTTATTTCATTTTCTGGGAGTAGGTTTGCGGAGGAAGCATGCACAGATCTACAAGTCATTTTCTCATAATAACACGATCGAAATATAGCCAAAGCATCCAATCATGCAATATCCACTATCAAAATACAGCATGACCAAATTAACAGGTATGGAAAAGATCATTCTTCATCAGAAAAAACTATAACATACCTGATTAGTAGAGCTTAGGTCAAGTCCACCATTATAGGAAGAAGATAAAGTCTCGTTAAAGTTACTTGAAGGTATCATATGAGAAGGAGATGGATTAGACAGAAAGCTTCTAGAATTATAAACAGAAGGTCCAAATCCATAACCAAATGCATCTCTGGCAGTGGCACGGGGAGGCAATCTATTTGTAAGGAATTCATTTCTATTTTGCGGAAGGTTGTACTTCATGTCTACTGGAGATTGCTTATATGTAGTATTGCCTGGAAATGATTGCTGAGAGGGCAGGGAAAGGTATCCTTTCCTGTCAAGCAATTCAAGAAAATGCGTTGAGGATTGCACTGTGGGCTCCTGGGGATGTACAGATCTCATAGGTAGAGGAAAGGCACCTGATGCCATGACCTGCAAGGTTCAACAACTGTCAAGTATATCAATGACTAACTATTAGGTCCACTTTATCAATAACTTAGTTTTGAGGGCACTGATTCGGAACCTTTAAACTTCAGGTAAATGATATGTAATGCACTTTCCTTCAATGTTTGTTAACTCCTATTCTTTTGGCAATTATATCTACATCAAGACTTTACAGTAAGTTATACACGGTTATATGCAGAAATGCTGTGTTACGAGAACATATCAATTAGTTAAGGGTCATAATTAATTATTGTAGGTGATAGAGTTCTTATATTATCAAATAGTGTAAATATATTGTAGGGATAAAAAGGGTCATTATTCATCATTGTAGGTCGTAGAGTTCTTATTAATTATTGTAGGTGAGCTCTCTCTCCATATATAATATACTTCTTTATATTGTTTGAATCAAGAAATTAGAATCAGCTTTTGTTTTCTTCCCCTAATCCCTTTTCAAGTTGGTATCAGAACTCCCAATCTCGAAGATTCTACTTCCGCATTTGAATCCAACACTACCTTACGCAGTTTCTCTTTTCTTGGCTTGGGTTGCCCGAAGTGCACCCACCTTACTTTCATTAGTTTACCGGTAGCTGGTGACAGGCTAAATCAATGCATTTGCCAACACAGGACCACGAGAAACAACTACTCAACTTGATATAAGTATCCAAGAAACCCAGCATGTATTTCCCCTCGTCCAATTTTAATTGATATTGAATCCGTAAAGCATCAAAAAAATAATTAACACAGTATTTTGATTAATAAGAAATATTGAAATCAAAACTTCGGGAGATCATTAACTTCTAAGTAGCCCAAGCAACGACATCTAACACTTGAACCATCTCTTTTTGTTTATTCTTCAACCAACAATGTTCTAGAGTTATAAACATTATTAAATGACTATTCCTACTAAAGAATATTTGCTCTGTTTAGTTATTATCACACGACACATGCAAAAATAAATAAAATCAAAGAACTAAAGAGCATGACGTACACAATACAGAATACTCCCTACATACCTTGGACATAAAGATGGCAGGATAGCTTATAGATGGTAAAGCATTACTGTGTCTTGCAGGTTGTGATTGTGACCTGAGCAATGCCAACACATCACCAGGCATTGAATTTGAGGCAGCACACTGCATCAAGGTAAATAAAAGCAAATATCAAAATTATATACTATTATATAACACTTGAAATTTAAAAGTAAGCATGAACAAGTAAACAGCCACCATTAGAATAGAATCATAGGTCATGCACACAGATATATTTCATGTAGAAAGCCCATCAATATCAATAAGAAAACCAAAATAAAGAAATAAAGTTTGAAAGGCTTTAGTGTCACCCATTCTCTTGGAAAAGTAAAATGGTTTCTACTCTGCAAGCCTATTTGCTTCAAAGGCAGTGAAGTATTCACCAAGTGTGATTTTAGGAAATTAGGGTCTGATACAGATGCTGTCATGTTGTGGTCATGCTCAAGAGTTTCCTCAGGAACAATATGCTTCACCAGCCATTGCTTAGGAGATGAAAGGACGTCAATGTTTTTATCACCAGCTTCTCCTCTAGAGACATCAAATGCAAGCTGCTTATCACCATAGTCCACAGAACTAATAGACATAACAAAAATAAAATGATTGTCCGACATACAAAACAGACTATATACAAAAATAGGAAATGGGAAAAAAATTGCCTTGCATCCAGGAACTGAGCTGAAGAATTATCTACAGCAGCAGACTTCACTTCCATGCCATTTTTAAAAAGATGATTAGAAGTAAGAACAACAGATGCCGAATTACTTCCGCTGTTATATGTACCAAAACTCAAATGTGAACAGTCAGCACCCAAAGCTTGTAAATGAAATGGAATAACCACTACAGGGTCATCTTCAGATGTTGGGCACTTTCAGTTTGGATTCCCCTATACTTAATCGGTGGAAAACTGAAGCAGCAGATGACACATCTACAAAGAAATCACAAGTAAATTTATTTGAATAATCTTAATAGAACAATGGCAATCCATTACCAGCCCTTGAGAAAAAAATGGTGCAAAAATAATCTATACTTGATGAGAACAACGTTTTCCCATGTAGCGAGAATGAATAAAGCAGCATTATCTAAATATTGGTTTCATTCCCTTCTACAGATTCTGATTCAAGGACAACTTTCTAGAAAACTTAAAAATTGTACAGAAGGAAAAGGAATTATAATCATCACAATCAAAAACATTCACAATTCAAATTTCCTCTACAAGATGTACTGTATTATCCAATTCACAAATTAACAACAAAAGATGACAATACAAACGTGGTTTAATTTTTAGGTACCAACACCATTTTCATAGTCATAAGGAGAGATATGTGGATACCCAGTTAAACACAAAAGTTATTTTCAGTCTCTTTACACCTGTTTTTAAGCTGACTACATAGAAAGAAGCATAAACACTTTAAAATTGTAATTGTACATATATATGATGTTGAAAGTCCCACATCGCCTACCTCATGTCATTTGGTATGGTTTAAATACATGTTATGCTACTCCACATATTGCCAATTGGTTTTATGTTGGAACCTTAATATGGTATCAAAGCTAAAACCTAACATCTTTCTGGTTATTGTCATGTGCCAAAAAGTTGTCCTTTAGTTGGGTCAAAAGTACCCTTTACCTGGTCCGGCAGGCTTCGTTGGAGGGGGTGTGTTGAAAGTCCCACATCGCCTACTTCATGTCATTTGGTATGGTTTAAATACATGTTAGGCTATCCACATATTGCCAATTGGTTTTATGTTGGAACCTTAACACATGACATATTCCAAATACTCCTGGCTGCATTATACAAATTTTATACTTGGATTCTCAACTTTAGGTTAACTATTCACTTAGTCCCCATTATATAGTTGTCCACATTTAAAGTTTAGTCTCTAACAAGGAAACTATAAGTTTTATTCCCTACACATGTATAAAAGTTAAACTTTGGTCCTTATTCTAACAACATATAAAAAAAAAAAAAGTCTGCAGTGTAAAACCACTACAAAGACTTCCTGGCTATGATAAACTCCAATAAAACACTGTTCAGCGACTACTTTTAAAATTTTTTCATATAGGAACTGTTGAATATAGGGAAAAACTGTATAGGGTTAATTTCCCTTATGTGTTTACCACACATAGGGCAGTGTATTTATAATAAAGAAAGGTACTCCTCAAAAGAGTAACAGAATACAAATAGGGTAAATAAAAGATATTATTTGATATTGTGATTAACAATATCTAACAATATCTCAACAATATCAAACAATATCAACTAATATCTAATCATATCTAACACTCCCCCTCAAGCTGGAGCATACAAATCGTATGTGCCTAGCTTGGTACAAAGATAATCCATCCTAGGTCCCCGTAAAGACTTAGTGAAAATATCTCGCTAATTGATCACATGAGTTAACGAACTCGGTCTTGATGTCTCCGGACATAATCTTTTCCCGAATAAAATGGCGAGTCAATCTCAATGTGTTTAGTCCTCTCATGAAAGACAGGATTAGAGCTTATATGGAGAGCAGACTGATTGTCACACACTAGTGTCATTTGAGTGACATCTCCAAATTGTAGCTCTTTAAGCAATTGCTTGAGCCAAATAAGTTCACAGGTAGTCGAGGCCATAGCTCTATACTCGCTTCGCACCTGGATCTTGCCACAACACTTTGTTTCTTACTTTTCCATGAGATCAAGTTACCACCAATGGAAACACAATACCCGGATGTAGATCTTCTATCGGAGGGAGATCATGCCCAATCGACATCCGAATAGCGAGACAACTCTTGTATGATTATGGGAGTCATACACCAAACCTTTTCCAGGAGACTTTTTGATGTACTTCAATATATGGATGACTCGCATTCCAATGATCTTGACAAGGAGAATTGAGGAATTGACTCACCACACCGATCGCAAAGGAAATGTCGTGGCGAGTAACCGTAAGATAATTTAATTTTCCAACTAATCTTCTATACTGTTCGGGATCCGACATTGGCTCCCCCGATTTGGCAAGAGTTTGGTATTAGGATCCATTGGTGTGTCAACAGGCTTTGAATTCATCAACCCAGCTTCCTCCAAAATATCCAATGCATACTTTCTTTGAGATATAACAATGCCATCGGTAGATTGTGCTACCTCAATACCCAAGAAATATCAAGTTTGCCAAGATCTTTGGTTTGAAAATGGTGGCAAAGGTGTTGTTTCATCCGAGATATGCCATGATGGTCACTACCCGTAAGAACAATGTCATCGACATACACTATCAAATAGATACATCCAAGCATTCGAGTGACTCGTAAAAGACCGAGTGGTCTCGCCTCACTTCTAGTCATGCCAAATTGTTGAACAACGTCGCTAAATTTGCCAAACCAGGCCCTAGGAGACTGTTTTAGGCCATATAAAGATTTGCGAAGACGACATACCAATCCGGAAGACTCCCCCGAGCAACAAATCCGGGAGGTTGCTCCATATAAATCTCTTCTTGCAAATCGCCATTCAAGAAAGCATTTTTGACATCCGAGTTGATAAAGAGGCCATTGTTGAGTAGCGACCATGACAATGAATAAACGAACGTAAGCCATCTTTGCCACTCGGAGAGAAAGTATCACCATAATCCAACCCAAAAATTTGGGTATAGCCTTTGGCTACAAGGCGAGCTTTGAGGCGATCAATAGTACCATCGGGACCAACCTTGATAGCGAAGACCCACCTGCAACCAACAACAGATTTTCCGGATGGTAATGGGACAAGTGTCCAGGTTCCACTAGTCCGAAGAGCACCGAGTTCATCTAGCATGGCCTGACGCCAACCAGGGTGGGCTAAGGCTTCGAGAGCAGATTTAGGAATAGATACGGAAGAAATAGACGAGAGACAGGTATAAAATGGTGAAGAAATTCGATGATAACTTAAAGCAAGTATAATGTGGAGAAGGATTACGAGTAGAACGCGTACCTTTACGAAGGGCAATAGGAAGGTCGGACTCGTGGACTGAACCGGAGGAGGCGGAGTATTTGGCACTCGGGAGTGAGTCATGTGGCGTCTGTTGTGGGCGAGGTCTGCGACTATAAACCCGAAGGGGTGGTGGAGGAGGAGGGGCTAATGGTGGATGGTCCTCAACATAAGGATCAATGAGAACAGGAATGGGAACCGTAGCGAGATGGAGACTCGAGCAAGTAGGGAAGGGTCCTTAAAGTAAAAGAAAAACTCATTGAAGGTGACATCTAGCAGACACAAAATAGCGATTAAGAGAAGGAGAAAAACACTTGTATCCTTTTTGGGATCGAGTAAATCCTAAGAAAACACATTTGTGTGATCGAGGAGATAACTTATCATGACCAGGATCAAAATTGTGGACAAAACAGGTAGTCCCAAAAACCTTCGGAGGTAAAGGATGGAGATTGTCATGAGGAAATAAAATAGAATGGGGAATTTTGTTATCTAAAACCGAAGAGGGCATACGATTAATAAGATAACAGCAAGTAAGAACAAGCATCACCCCAAAAATGTTGAGGAACCGCCCCATGAATTAAAAGAGTACGGGTTGTTTCAATAAGGTGTCTATTCTTGCGCTCGACCACCCCATTTTGTTGAGGGGTATAAGCACGGGAAGTTTGATGAAGAATGCCATGAGAGGCCATAAATTGTTTAAACGAGTTTGAAAGATATTCACGGCCATTATCACTTCGAAAAGTTTGAATAGAGACACCAAATTGATTTTTAATTTCATGATAAAAGTTTTGGAATATAGAAAACAACTCGTAACGATTTTTCATTAAAAATAACCAAGTACAACGAGAGAAATCATCAATAAAAGTAACAAAATATTGAAAACCTAAATTAGACTTAACACGACTGGGTCCCCAAATGTCGAGTGAACTAAGGCAAAGGGGGATGAAGCACGCTTGGAAACACTACGAGAAAAGGAAGTACGACTATGTTTGCCTAACCGACGGACTCACATACCAAACTCGGACAACCGGGATAAGTTGGGAACAAGTTGTCGTAATTTGCGCAGACCGGGGTGACCAAGTCGAGCATGAAGGAGAGAAGGAGACTCCATAACCGTGCCAACATGTGGAGAAGGTTGAAGATAATAAAGTCCATGTGACTCACATCCGGTGCCAATCACTCTTTGCGAGCTCCGGTCCCGTAAGGAAACGAAGTTTTGGTAAAAGAGATAACACAATCAAGAGATCGAGTTAGACTGGCTAATGGATAATAAGTTAAAGGGGGACCCGGGTACATACAAAACATTATCAATGGACAACGAGGGAAAAAGAGTAACTGTTCCAACACCATGAGCTAAAGTTGTAGACCCATTAGCCATTGTAACGGAGGGTAAATTATGAGAAGAAGTGAAAGAGGAAAATAAGGATTTGTTACCGAGTGATGTGATCGGGCGCCTGAGTCAAGAACCCAAGAGCCAATAGAAGAAGAGTGAGTCGGACCAACAAAAGATGTACCGTGTGGGCAACGAAGTAGTGGAACCGGAGGGCTTTCGATCCTCATACCATTGAAGAAAATCATTGAAGATAGCAGATTTGTCTCGAAGGTACGGATGAAGGAGGATCCACAGCAGAGGATTGTGCGGAAGAATCGGTCCGAGCAACTGCAGCGAGATCGGCGAGGATAACCATGTAAAGCATAACATTTGTCAATTTTGTGGCCTAGTTTGCCACAATGGTCACACTTGACACGCCCTTTGCCCGGCTTGTGAGAGCGATTACGATCATCACGGTGAGAGGCCAAGGCGGATGAATCATTAGAAACTACGGGGGGAATATTGAGAGGTTTACATGGCACCCGCAAAAGGGAGGAACTGGTAGCGGTAAACCGGGTGTAACAGGGGAACCCAAAATCCGATCACGAACAGGGGCATATTTATCGACAAGTCCGTGTAACATCAAAACCATGAAAAACTTTGATCGTTGCTCTAATTCTTGGGCAGGAGTCGAGGCGGGGGTAATAACTCATTAAATTCATGGAGAAGAGCATGGATCTTACCCACATAATCCGCCACGTAATCCTTATCTCGAGGAGCAATAACATCAAGAAGATTGTAACAAATACCATAAAGACGTTGAGTGTCATTGGTGTATAATAATTTGGCTTGTTCCCAAATGTCATAACATGTGCCATACGATCGAAAAATTTGTTTTAAAGAAGATTGGATGGTATTCTTGAGAACCATACATATATGAGCATCAACTTTCTTCCAACTGGACACGATCATTGGAAGGAACATCATCTACCTTGGTAGTAAGATGATCAACATACCCCGACTCTCAAGCCAAAGTCTAATATCAGATGCCCAAGTTGCATAATTCGTACCATCTAATTTATCAATGGGTAAATTCACATTGACATAATTAGTAAAAACAGATTGTTCGGACCCACCGGAGTCGACAGAGGTAACTTCGAATTGGAAGTGGCGGCGGAAGATGCCATGGAGAAAGAGAGAGAAAAACCCTAAAACACCAAAGAGGTCCGATTGGAGCAGCGAGGACAGATCCAGAGAGAGGAGAAGGAGGCGACGCCGGCGCAAAGAGCGGCGGCCTGAACGGCGGCGAGACGCGCCGCCACGCGCGGCGGAACGGGAGAAGGAGGCGTGGCTTCGGGAGGCGCGTGAGGGAGCGTGGCTGCTCCGATGACCGCGAAACTTCCACGGTGGAGGTCGCACGGAGGAGGCGAGCAAAACCCTGTGCTCGGCGGTCCGAATCGCTACTCCGGCGACGGCGGCGGCGGCGGCGAGGCGGTGATATGCCGGAGTTCGAGTGGCGAGCCGAAAAAATCCCAAGAGACCTTAAGCTCTTGATACCATGTTGAATATAGGGAAAAACTGTATAGGGTTAATTTCCCTTATGTGTTTACCACACATAGGGCAGTGTATTTATAATAAAGAAAGGTACTCCTCAAAAGAGTAACAGAATACAAATAGGGTAAATAAAAGATATTATTTGATATTGTGATTAACAATATCTAACAATATCTCAACAATATCAAACAATATCAACTAATATCTAATCATATCTAACAGGAACTAAAACTTAAATTGGAAACAGCAATAGGGACCAAATGAATAGTCTAACCTTTTTATATATTCCCACACATAAGAGAATAATGAAGACTTTAAGAAATGGTGCAATTATTGTTTCTTTTATAGCACAATTCAGAAGTAAGTCATTCTAAATCTAAAACTGCAGTAAGAATAGTTACCTTTATGATGCTCATAAGAACTACAAAGATCAGGGGAAAGAGTCGTCCTTAAGTTAGAATTGAAATCAGATTGTAGGCCAGTAATGCTGCTCAAAAGAGTATGTTTGCTAGATACAGAAGATTCAATTTCTTTGGACTCAACGTCATCACAAGCAGCATCCCTCCATGAAACTGGGGCTACATCTAATTCAATGTTCCTGTGTGAACATATTTCAGTTACATGCAAGCTAGGATGCTCAAGTGGCCCACTAGAATTTGAAGCAGACATGTTTGGTGCCTGTAAATTTCTAGCAATTGGATGTTCAATTACAGGCCATTCATCGTTAAAAACATGTTGCTTGCAATAATTTTGACAGGGAAGACCTACGCTTGACTCCACATTTCCACAAGCAGAAACTTCTGAGGTCTTACAGTTGTTAACAACATCTTGTGACGATGTTTTACCCATTCTTACAATATCTTCCATTGAAAGACGTCCTTTATTCACTCCTGCTATGAAGGGTTGAGGTCCTGAAGAGGCTTGGGCAGAATCTGATATAGAATGCCTTGTTATTAAGGACTGTCTTCCATTATCAGTACTATAATAGTTACTGCATTAAATTAAAAAAAAAAAAAAGTATGAGGACTAGTTAGAAATTTTATTTAAAAAAATAATCATTTACAACAACATTCTAATCCAAGTGATATCAATATGTCATTAAAAGAAGAGCAAATAAAAAAAATTTTACCTTGTATAATATCAATTTAGCTAATAAAGATACTGCAATTGCTGTAAGAGCTTAAGCATTTGACAGATTAAAACAATCCTTTGGCATCAATGCCACCGAAAGTATTCATAGGATTGTTATAAGTGGAGAAAGAAATACTTGAGACTTAACCAGGTGAAATGCAAAGGATAAAGAGAAGGTAAAGTCTTAGTCATATAACATGATAACAAGGAATCTTAAGAGTTACTATCACGAGCTATTTAATGGACACAGATTCCCTCCAATACGCATAGGCTAAAACACAAGAGAATACCAAAATTATACCATCTATGCATCATAGTCAATTGCATATAGTCAAGCTGGTTATTGCAGCATAGAATCGTGGGCCCATCACCAATAAAAACTATCATATAGGGGTGTTTGAAGTGGGGAATCTTGTAATTCCCCCCACCCGTTTGCTGAATCAAAGGGTCAAATGAAACCCTTTTTTTTGAACTAATTGCACACATCTCTTGGGATGAACCACCCATCATTATTTTAAGATCTAGCATATTCCCTTGACATGATGATTTTCTATTAGCGGAAATATGATGTACCATGATTGTAGGAGCAATATTATATCACCCATAAGTTAAAGAACGTAACTATAGGCACCCAATTTTTTTTTTATTTGTTCTTGATTTTCTTTGATTCTCTGCATTAACTCTGTATAGCTATCAGGATATTTTTTAGGGTTGACCTCTTGTACATATTCATTTGCTCGGTTCCTTGGAATAAACACAAAAAACAGTTTTCCATCTCTTCTTTTCTACATGGTATCTAGAGCAAGGTTGGCTCACTGAACTTTAGAAAAGTAAGGACACGGATCTTGAGTTCTTGAGGCAAGATCACTATGTCGGGTGATGACAAAAAGAAGAACGGTGAGGGTGTTGGAAAAGATACAATAGCTGTATCTCCTTACTATATGCATCCATCAGCCAATCCAGGGATGTTGATTACACCTATATAACTGAAAGGAGACAACTATGAAGAATGGGCAAGGGCAATATGAAATGCGTTGCAAGCAAAGTAGAAACTAGCATTTGTGGACGGGACTATAACCATGCCAAAGGATGAATCAACTGATATTGAAGATTGGTGGATGGTGAACTCCATGCTGGTGGCATGGATTCTCCACACCATAGAACCAAGCCTATGCTCAACCAGTACTTATATGAAGAGTGTTAGAAATTTGTGGGAGGATCTTCAGCAAAGGTTCTCCATTGGAAATGGGGCACGTATCTATCAGCTCAAGGCAGATTTGGCTGGGTGCAAGCAAATGGGACAAATGGTTGTTGTATACTATGGAAAGGTGAAAGCAATGTGGGATGAATTGGTAAGTTATGAACCAACTCCAACATGTAAGTGTGGTGGGTGCCAATGTGATATTGCGAAAGAATTAGAAAAGAGAATGGAAGCGAAGGTCCACCAGTTCTTGATGAGACTGGATGGCGTAATATATGGGACCATTCGTTCCAATATTTTGAATGTGGAACCTCTACCAAACCTGAGGCGAGCATATGCAATAATCATACAAGAGCGTCACAGAAATATAGCCAAAAGCAAGGAAGAACGAGGTGATGTCGTAGGCTTTGTCATGCAGGTGGGTACTGGAGTAAAGGCAATTGTTGTTCAAATTAAAGAAAAGTGGACGACATGTAACCACTGCGGGAAGACTGGACATGATGCCAAGAACTATTTTCAAGTCATTGGTTATCCGGATTGTTGGGGTGATAGACCCCGCTCAACAAGAAAGAGTGCAAAACGCAAGGAAGAACGAGGTGATGTCGTAGGCTTTGTCATGCAGGTGGGTACTGGAGTAAAGGCAATTGTTGTTCAAATTAAAGAAAAGTGGACGACATGTAACCACTGCGGGAAGACTGGACATGATGCCAAGAACTATTTTCAAGTCATTGGTTATCCGGATTGTTGGGGTGATAGACCCCGCTCAACAAGAAAGAGTGCAAAACGCGGATGGGAAAATTCATATGCTAGAGGACGAAGAAGTCAGAATGCTCGAGCAAATGCAACACAGACCGGAGGGATGGAAAGGCAACAAGCAGTAGCAATTGAAGACCTAGAACGAGGAGGAATACCAGGATTGAGTGGAGAACAATTGACAACATTAATCAACCTACTGAAGACACACAAAGCAAGAGGAATTGAGAAATTATCTGGTAAGAATGATGAATGGTTGGTTGACTCTGGGGCTTCACACTATATGACGAGTGTGATTGAACTATTGACTGAAGTACAAAATATTGTGTCGTGTCTAGTGGGACTCCCCGATGGAAAACAAACCAATGCTGTAAAGGAAAGAATACTACATCTAGAAAAAAATATTTACCCGGGAAATGTGCTATATGTTCCTAATATGAATTGCAGCACCCTAATATTTGTTGCTAAACTTGTGCGAGATTTGAATTGCATTATTACTTTTACTAATAAGCTATGTGTGCTACAAGACCAAGCTTCGAGAACTCTGATTTGACTAGGTGAAGAGTGTGATGGAATTTTTCTGTTTAGGACTACAATACTAGTATATGCAAATAAAGCAAAAACAATAAATGTTGGCAAGCTGTGGCATGAAAGATTAGGACACCCATCCAAATGAATTCTTACCTACCTCCCTAAGGCAAATGGTGGTGATCCAATTGATTTTTGTGAAATTTGTTATAAAGCTAAGAAAACTTGTTATGTGTTTCAAGAAAGTCAAAATAAAGTTGATGAAAGTTTTTCCTTAATACATTGTGACTTATGGGGACCCTATAAGGGGCCCACATCTTGTGGTGCAAGTTATTTTTTGACAATTGTCAATGATTTTTCTTGTGCTGTGTGGGTTTACCTGTTGCTTGAGAAGTGTGAGGTAGCACAAACTATTAAAAATTTGTGTATGATGATTGAGTGTCAATTTGAAAAACAAGTTAAAGTAATTCGAAGTAATATCGAGACTGAATTCACATGTCTAAGACCATACTTTGAACAAAATGATATATTACACCAAACGTCCTATGTAAAAACACCTCAACAGAATGGGAGAGTTGAGAGGAAGCATAGGCACATTCTAAACATAGCTAGAGCATTAAAATTTCAAGCTAGTTTGCCTACACAATTTTGGGGGGAATGCATTTTGACTGCAGGCTATCTTATAAACCGAACCCCTTCTTATCTTCTTCAAGGAAAAAGTCCTTATGAGGTCTTGTTTGGGAGGGAACCTACATATTATCAATTGAGAGTATTTGGGTGCCTCTATTATGTGCACCAAAATGGAAAAGACAAATTTGTGAAAGTAAAATGTGTGTGTTCTTGGGATATCCATATGGAAAGAAAGGATGGTGAGTATATGACCTCGAAAAAGAATAATACTTGGTCTCTAGGGATGTGGCGTTTCATTAAAATGTTTTTCCATTTGCCACTGGTTAGGATCCCGTAAACAACAAAGAACTAGAATCAAACCTAATAGACTATGTATTCTTTGATGAACCCAATGAAAGTCAAAGGAACAAAGGAAATGAAGCGTGGATTACAAATATAACAAAGAGGGAGAGACTGGGCAATTGTGAGCATGAAAGAGAAGAACAAGGATCTGGAAGTGAAGTGACCATAAGTGAGGGAAATAGTGATGACAGTGGACAAGAAGAGGGTGTAGCTGAACAAGAGGAACGACTTCGTAAAGGACAACACCAACATAAGCCCTCGGTTCTATTATGAGACTACGTAATTTACACTACATAGTGTCAGAAAGACCCCACTCACACTCTAACACCATCCGAGTCAAAGTCCTCATGTAAGATTCCTTATCCCATTGCCAATTATGTAACATGTAATAAGTTTTCTCCTAAAAGCCCACAACTAGACATGAGCCCACAAGTTTTTCCACTGATATGAAGGATGAAAGATGGAGAGAAGCAATGAAGAAGGACTTAGAAGCTCTTGAAAGTAATGGAACATGGACTTTAGAGCCCTTGCCCCCTGGGAATATAGTGAAAAACTAGGTATAGGATAATTTCTCGTGTCTAAAATACACATGGGTAATATATTTATAATCAAGAGTCATACAAGTAAATATGGTAAATACATATATTGTAACTAATAATATCAAAAATATCTAAAAAGGTGTATAAAATCAAGTACTACTCTGATCGAACTGTAGAACACTGTAAAGCACAATTGGTGATCCTTGGCAACTGACAAGAAGAAGGATTGGATTACAACGAGACCTTTGCTCCAGTCGCAACGATGGCAACAGTGCAGACCCTTCTAGCAGTGGCAGCGGCAAAACAATGGGAGTTACATCAAATGGACGTTCATAATGCATTCTTGCATGACGACTTGGATGAAGAGGTGTTCATGCAACTTCCACCAGGATTTTCAATAGCAGATAAGTCTAAGTATGCAAATTGAACAAGTCCCTCTATGGGCTTCATCAGGCCCCTCGATATTGGTTCTCTAAGCTTGCGACAGCATTAAGGAAATATGGATTTGTTCAGTCTCACTATGATTACTCTTTGTTCACATATGCAGACAGCGGAGTGCAACTCAATATGCTGGTATATGTTGATGACTTGGTTATCACCAGCAACGATTCTCAAGTTGTGACTCAACTTAAGAAATATTTGAACAAGTGCTTTTACATGAAGGATCTAAGAACTCTTAAATACTTCCTGGGTATTGAGGTTGCTTGTGGGCCTGAAGGAATTTTTCTCTGTCAGCAGAAGTATGCATTGGACATTATTACTAAAGCTGGTTTGCTTGGGGCAAAGCCAGCAGTGTTCCAATGTAACAAAATCATCAATTAGTTGTGGCAAAAGGAGCTCTTATGGAAGATCCTGCGCAATACAGGAGACTGGTAGGACGACTTATCTATCTTACTATCACTAGGCTTGAGCTTAGCTATTGTGTACATGTGTTTGCTCAATTTATGCAACACCTGCAAGAAGACCATTAGGAGGAAGCTTTACGAGTCGTACTCTATCTTAAAGGCAACTCTGGACAAGACATTTTTCTGTGAGCTAATAGTAATCTACACTTAACAACATATTGTGACTCAGATTGGGCTAGTTATCCTCTTACACGCCGATCTCTCACTGGATATGTGGTGCTCTCCAATATCATGGAAGATAAAGAAGCAACACACTGTGTCTCGATCCTCTGCAGAAGCAGAATATTGCTCTATGGCAACCACTACTTGCGAATTGAAATGGTTAAAGGGCCTTCTTGAATCCTTAGGCGTGCCTCATCCAACACCCATGCACATATATTATGACAACCAGGCTGCTCTTCACATAGCAGCTAATCCAATTTTTCACAAGAGAACTAAACACATCAAGGTAGACTGTCATTTTGTACAGGATGAAGTTCAACGTGGTACCATTACCACCTCTCATATTCGCACTACCAACCAGCTAAAAATATGATGTACCATGATTGTAGGAGCAATATTATATTACGCATAAGTTTAGGAACGTAACTGTGGGAAATCAAATAGTATTTTAGGAAAGAATAAATCAGGAAATTTGTATATTTCCTTGTAATCTGTACAGATTTGAATAATTAGGAACAATCCCATAAATCAAGGGATCCTAACATAAAATAGAGTTATTATATTTCCTAAAATAGCTTAGGTCTCCTGTATATATCTTATATCATCTCTTTGTATTGAAATAATAAAAATCATATTTCAGTTAATCTATTTTTCAAGATGGTATCAGAGCTTCCGATCTAGGAAGCTCTGTCTGCGCTCGATAAATCCTAAGACGGCAGCCTGCATTGCTGCTTGCATATTTTGTAACCCTAAGACGGCAGCTGCATTGCTCGCTGCATTTTTCTTAACCCTAAGACGACGACCTACATTGCTGCTTGCATTTTTCTTAATCCTAAGACGACAGACTGCATTGCTTGCTGCATTTTTCATAATCCTAAGACGACAGCCTGCATTGTTGTTGCATCGCACCTTTTTGCTATAATGTCAAGGGAAGAGGAGATAGAAAGGGAGAAAACCATTCTTAGTAAGCTTGGAAAAACCTACGGGTATGTGTTCTTTGGCATACTCGGGTAAGTTTCCACCTTCTTTTGGATTAAATGTCTCGGATACGCCTTTTAACCATTATTGGATATTGGACTCTGGAGCCACGGATCACATGACACCATTAGCCAAACACTTCTCCACATATTCCCCATGTCCCAGCAACAAGAAAATTGCCACAGCAGATGGAACCCTTATAACTGCAGCTCGTCAAGGAAATATCCAAATCAATCCTTTAATAACCTTAAAAGACGTTCTCCATGTCCCAAAGTTGTCCACGAACCTAGTGTCATGTGAGAAATCAAATAGTATTTTAGGAAAGAATAAATAAGGAAATTTGTATATTTCCTTGTAATCTGTACAGATTTGAATAATTAGGAACAATCCCATAAATCAAGGAATCCTAGCATAAAATAGAGTTATTATATTTCCTAAAATAGTTTAGGTCTCTTGTATATATCTTATATCATCTCTTTGTATTGATATAATAAAAATCATATTTCAGTTAATCTATTTTTCCAGATGATATCAGAGCTTCCAACCAGAAGCTCTGTCTGCGCTCGATAAACCCTAAGACGGCAGCCTGCATTACTGCTGCATATTTTGTAACCCTAAGACAGCATCCTGCATTGCTGCTGCATTTTTCTTAACCCTAAGACGGCACGCCTACATTGCTGCTGCATTTTTCTTAATCCTAAGACGACAGCCTGCATTACTGCTGCATTTTTCATAATCCTAAGACGACAGCCTGCATTGTTGTTGCATCGCACCTTTTTGCTATAATGTCAAGGGAAGAGGAGATAGAAAGGGTGAAAACCATTCTTAGTAAGCTGGAAAAACCTATAGGTATGTGTTCTTTGGCATACTCAGGTAAGTTTCCACCTTCTTTTAGATTAAATGTCTCAGATATGCCTTTTAACCATTATTGGATATTGGACTCTGGAGCCACGAGATCACATGACACCATTAGCCAAACACTTCTCCACATATTCCCCATGTCCCAGCAACAAGAAAATTGTCACGACGAGATGGAACCCTTATAAGCTGCAGCTGGTCAAGGAAATATCCAAATCAATCATTTAATAACCTTAAAAGACGTTCTCCATGTCCCAAAGTTGTCCACGAACCTAGTGTCTATACAAAAACTTATAAAGGATTTGTCATGTAAAGTTGTTTTTTCCAATGATCATTGTGTATTTCGGGATAAGGATTCGGGGAGGATGATTGGACATGCTAGAGAATGGAATGGCCTTTATTATCTCGAAGATCCAAGTCCGCCAGACAAGAATAGAATCTCTCACTCCTTCATATCTCGAATCCTTGATGACCAACAGAGAAAAAATCATGCTTTATCATTGTCGGTTGGGACATCCCTCTTTTGGAGTGATCAAAATTATATTTCCCTCTCTGTTTACCAAGTTAGATGTTGAGAGTCTTCATTGTGAGGTGTGTGAACTTGCTAAGCACAAACGTATATCTTTTCCAATAAGTAATAGAATTAGCAATTTCCCTTTTTATCTTGTTCATACTTGATGTATGGGGACCTTCTAATATTCCAAATGTGTGCGGTACTCGATGGTTTGTCACCTTTATAGATGACTGTACAAGGGTCACTTGGGTTTTCCTACTTAAACAAAAATCGGAAGTCGGTTCTGTCTTCCTAAACTTCCACTCCATGATAAAAAATCGGTTTGGTGTTAATATTAAGAGGCTTAGGTCGGATAATGCCAAAGATTACTTCAATCATGTCCTTAATTCTTTTTGTCAAAAAGAAGGTATAATTCATGAGTCCTCTTGTGTCAAAACACCACAACGAGAATGGGGTCGCAGAGAGAAAAAATGGACATCTATTAAATCGGACTCGGGCATTGTTGTTCCAAAAAAGTGTCCCAAAAAATTTACGGGAGGAAGTTGTCCTTACAGCAACATACCTTATCAATAGACTACCCTCTAGAGTCTTAGGATCAAAAAGCCCTATGGAAGTTTTGTCGTCTTTCTATCCAAACTTGTCTACTACAAATAATCTTAAACCAAGAGTTTTTGGGTGCATCTCATATGTCCATATTCATAGTACGGACAGGGGAAAACTTGATCCTAGAGCCTTAAAGTGTGTCTTTGTTGGTTACTCACCCACTCAAAAAGGGTATAAATGCTACCACCCCCATCCAAAAAATTCTTTGTGTCTAGGGATGTTACCTTCAATGAACAAGAGGGCTATTTCCATCAACCTTATCTTCAAGGGGAGAGTTTCAGGGAAGATAAGGAAAGTAGTGATTCTGGTTTTCCCATTCTTCCGGACTTGACATTTGAACCTAAACGAAATCATATTGAAAGTAGTAATTCTGGTTTTCCCATTCTTCCGGACTTGATATTTGAACCTAAACAAGATCAAATTGAAGATCAAATTGAAGTTGTAACAAATGAAACAAATCAAGGAATTGGTCAAGCAAAGGAAGTTGGTCAAGAAAGTGAAATTAATTGTGAAGCTGATCAAGAAGATGTTGAAGCTGGAAAATTTGGTAAGAAGTCTGGTGTACTCAAGGAAGACTAAGGCCATTCCAGGATCAAGCCATGTTCAAGAATCCAACTCGACTCCACAAAAAGAGGTAACAATTTTTTCTCCAGTATGCAGGTTGAAATTGAAACCCAAAATGATCCCGACCTCCCAATTGCCATTAGAAAAGGAACAAGAAAATGCACCAAACAGACCACTCTACCCTCTCTCAAATTATCTGTCCTTTAAAAATTTCTCTCCTACCCATAAAACCTTCCTAGTAAACCTAAACACTGTACTTCTACCTAATACCCTATCCGAGGCATTGTTCGACGGAAAATGGAGGCAAGCCATGGATGAAGAGATGGAGGCATTGGAGAAAAACAACACTTGGGAGTTACTCACCTTACCAATAGGAAAGAGGCCGAGTTGGATGTAAATGGGTCTATACGGTGAAATACAAGGTCGATGGATCAATTGAGAGATATAAGGCAAGACTAGTTGCCAAAGGGTTCACCCAAACCTATGGAGTTGATTATTTGGAGACCTTTGCTCCGGTTGCCAAAATGAACACAGTTAGGGTGATATTGTCCCTTGCTGCCAATTATGGTTGGAACTTGGAACAATTTGATGTTAAGAATGCTTTCCTACATGGAGACCTTGAAGAAGAAATCTATATGGAGATACCTCCGGGATATGGTAAAGATGTTGCTACCAACACTTGTTTGCAAGTTGAAAAAGGCATTATATGGGTTAAAACAGTCCCCGTGCATGGTTTGGCGGGTTTACTAAAGTTATGACGAGTCTTGGTTACAAACAAAGCCAAGGGGACCATACTTTGTTTTTTAAACATTCCAAGTCGGGGGAGTAACAATATTATTGGTGTATGTGGATGACATAATATTAACTGGAGATAATAAAGAAGAGCAACAATTATTGAGTCAATGCTTAGGCAAGGAATTTGAGATCAAGACTTTGGGAAAACTAAAATATTTTTTGGGAATTGAAGTTGCCCACTCCGAGAAAGGGATATTTATATCTCAGCAGAAATACATCACTGATTTGCTCAAGGAAACTGGCAAGGCAGCTTGCAAACCTGCTAGTACCCCATTAGAACCAAACCTAAAGCTTGTAAATGCAGAAGAAGATGTTGCTGTTGAAAAAGATATGTACCAAAGATTAGTGGGCAGACTTATATATTTGTCACATACCAGGCCAGATATTGCCTATGCAGTGAGTTTAATTAGCCAATTTATGCATAGCCCAAAGGAGACCCATATACAAGCTGCCCATAGAATTTTACAGTACCTTAAAGGAACTCCAGGAAAAGGGATTCTATTCAAAAGGAATGGTAATGTGAAACTTGAAGCCTATACTCGATGCCGATTATGCGGGGTCAATTGTGGATAGGAGGTCAACTACGGGATATTGCACCTTTCTTGGAGGAAATCTTGTGACTTGGAGAAGCAAAAACAGGGTGTAGTGGCTCGGTCCAGTGTCTGAAGCAGAATTCGAGTCATGGCACAAGGTATATGTGAGTTGCTATGGCTTAAAATCATCTTAGAAGACTTGAGGATAAAGTGGGAAGAACCTATGAAGCTCTATTGTGATAATAAGTCAGCAATCGAGTATAGCCCACAACCCGAGTGCAAGCATGATAGAACAAAGCATATTGAAGTAGACAGACACTTCATCAAAGCAAAGCTTGATAGTGGCTTGATATGCACTCCATATGTGTCCTCTCAAGACCAAATTGCAGACATTCTTACCAAGGGACTGGGCTGCCATAATTTTGAGAAGATTGTATCCAAGCTGGGAATGGAAAACATCTATTCACCAGCTTGAGGGGGAGTGTGGGAAATCTAATAGTATTTTAGGAAAGAATAAATCAGGAAATTTGTATATTTCCTTGTAATCTGTACAGATTTGAATAATTAGGAACAATCCCATAAATCAAGGGATCCTAGCATAAAATAGAGTTATTATATTTCCTAAAATAGCTTAGGTCTCCTGTATATATCTTATATCATCTCTTTGTATTGAAATAATAAAAATCATATTTCAGTTAATCTATTTTTCAAGAGTAACTATAGAGACACCCAATTTGTTTCTTATTTGTTCTTGATTTTCTTTGATTCTCTGCATCCACTTTGTATAGTAGTCAGGATATTTTTTAGGGTTGACCTCTTGTATATATTCTTTTGCTTGGATCTTTGGAAGAAACACAGAAAACAATTTTCCATCTCTTCTTTTCTACATTTGCAGCCAACCCAAGACTACTTTCTTCATCCTTGTAATACTTTATTTTGTTTTCTCTCCCAGTAACTTTTCTCAGTCCTGTTCTCTAATCCCACATTTTTAATGTTTTGTAGTATCTTGACAACCTATGACCATGCTATCTATTCTCTCCATGTGACATTGATCATTAATTTGTTTCAAACTCTTATGGCCAATCTTTTTATTTTGTTCTCTATTCTCTTTTGAATTTGTACAACTTTGAAATAAGCAACCATCTCACCATCCACAATAACACCTTTATGGTCAGTCTCTCTGAGTCACTATTTGGATTCATAACTATGCTTTTGTTTAGTTGAGAGTCTAAGGTAAACAAAGTATTGAAAACAGTGAACAAGCACAAAGTAGATGAAACACATGATATTCACCTATTGAGGTATAAACAGGTCGTAGAGAAAGAAGCATAAGATGGCTAAAAAATTGTTTTATGAGATAATGCGAAGTAAGATAATAAACCTAAACAACTATAAAAGTAGATAAAGTCCTATATATAAGAAATAGCATACAAGAACAAGGATGAAATACAAAACAACTTAAAGTATAGGAGTACATGAGTCATAATATGAAGCTAAATGGAGGAGTGTAATTGAGTGAAGAACAATATTAGATAGTCAAAATTAATTTGGTTTTGAGTTGAGTAGGTCAACCATGGAAGCAGTACATGCTATAAAGATTAATAGAGAGATATTACTCACATGTCCTCAATTTGGACAGGGCAGTACCATAGGATGTCGAGAGATTTCAAAGGATCTAAAGGTGTTAATTTGTTTCCTACATTCATGCAATCAAATTTGTGTAGGGTGGGGTGTCATTACTATGGCGAACACAAGATGGGATCATGAAAGACTTTCTATATCTACTGGATAACACTAAAGATCAACTTTGAGCCCCTTAATAAATTGGTCTTGGATATTCTTATTGACCATGTCAAAGAGTTAATATGCATGATGGACTTTTTTGCGCCTCAATTAATCCTAAGAAAAGTCAGGAGCCTTTTGGTGCATAGAAAAACTATTTAACTACCCATCTTTCATTTATGTAGAAGTGAATGGATATATGGAGTGTAAGTTTAGAAGGAGGTGCAATATTGTTACAAGCATGGTCAAAAAACGCACGACCTATTTATCTCAGACAAGTTTGCGAGTTAAATTAGTGATCATGAGTTAACTTGTGTGTAAACTTGTTAAGGTTCCAACATAAAACCAATTGACAATATGTGGAGTAGCCTAACATGTATTTAAACCATACCAAATGATATGAGGTAGGCGATGTGGGACTTTCAACACACCCCCTCCAACGAAGCCTGCCGGACCAGGCAAAGGGTACTTTTGACCCAACTAAAGGACAACTTTTGGTCCATGACAATAACCGGAAAGATGTTAGGCTTTGACTCTGATACCATGTTAAGGTTCCAACATAAAACCAATTGGCAATATGTGGAGTAGCCTAACATGTATTTAAACCATACCAAATGATATGAGGTAGGCGATGTGGGACTTTCAACAAAACTCATTTCTAGCATGGACTTGTGCTGACTCAGGTAGACTTGGATGGAGTCCGTCAACTCACGAGTTGAGTCCATGAATTTGTGATCCTTCTTCGTTTCTCCAAAAATAGTGTCTTCATTCCCGATTCATTCTCCTTGTATGTGTAGTCTTCTTCCTCCAGCTCCACACCTCCCTTCTTTCCTCAACTCCACATCTTTCTGCAAGCGTATCTTCTTCCCCCAACTTTGCATCTGCCATTGTTTTCTCCTCTGCATAGAACAACATCTAGGGCTCGCATCTCTATCATTCTCCTCTGCATATCATTGTCCCCTGTCTAGGGCTTTGCATTACACAGCATCTCACTCTGTCTAGGGGTCGCATGACGTGTGCATTCTGCTCTCAGTTTTGATTATTAGGTTTTCTTGTCTATTGGGTTTCATTTGTTCTCTGTTATGCGTAAATTCCAGTCAATATTCCATATATTCTTTGAAATTGGAAGAGTCTAGTGTGCATTTCTCTTACAAAAATATTTTTTTTGTTTCATGTGTTAGCTGCTTGCTGAAATTATGAAGTGTCTAAAGTGGGACTATTTCAAATTCTTTTGATGTCAATGTAATTGCACCTCACTTCCTAGAAGTAAAAACGCTGCAGGATACAATGGGGATATGCTTCTATAACATTGTCACTTCTAATGGTCTAATACACGAAAATGATCAAAGAGAATAATTTAGTGTCATTCATATCTAATATTAGTGGGGATATGCCTCCAACACATGCAAATGTCTATTGTGAAATGAAGACAGCAGCATCTGGCAAAACCCACAATCTCAGGCATTTTCCAATTAAATAGAATGATGAGTGCGTCTGACAGTTCCCAGGAAGAGAGTTTCTAAATTAGGAAAAATGTGTAAGGCATCCACTAAGACATCAATAGCCTTCAATTTAAGTTCCCTGATGATTTATGGTGGAAACACAGAACTTCAGGGACAATAATAGTAATGGACTTACGGGTTAAGGCAATCACTTGAATATCCTTTCCAACACACCAACTAGGAAACATTGTAAAATTTGCAATATAACAAAGAAAACGAGAACTAGTATCCAAAGGAAAGAAAAAAATGGACAGAACGATCAACCATAGGCTAAAGCATCAAAGCCACTGTCAAAACATCCTCATGTAAAAAACAACAACACATGGATTACCTCACGGAATAAACTGAGGGTGACATCAAGCCATACGTATCAATAGTAACAATATGTATTCACATAAGCTACCAGATTGCATTTGAAAACTCACCCTTTAGTACTTTTCATCACATCATGAGTTGTAGGAGCCGTAAATGAAGCACTAACACATACTGACCCACCCTCCCCCTTGCCATTAGCTTTATAATGCTCTGACATTAAGTTACACATATTTGACAAGGTAAGGCAATGCAATAGTAAAAAACCACGTCAATATACTAGCTGCATGTACCAGAAATTGCATGATGTTCCGCAATCAGAGAAGATACCGTTATAAGTCACATGTGTTAATCCACTTTGGACAACACTGCAATCACTGCCACTGCCAGTTTTGCCTCTGCGACTCAAGCCTACATTCTTACCCCTAGTCTTTGAATTGAATGCCCCCTTTTTGAAATTTAAAAAGCAAACAGATTATTCATCCCCTGATCAGTTCAACCTTATATATCAGTGATCATGAAGAATGTCACACGAGGAATACCTCTTTTTTCCTTTCACGTTTACTTTTCACTTCATGAAATGTGTCTGCAATTAAAACATCGGAAAACACCAATTGTAAAGATATATACATATCATGAGAAGAATTCATAGATCATAACACAGTGAAAACTTTTAAGCCGCCACTCTAGATATAAATTCTAAAATAATTATTTCAAAATCCAATTATTTTAATTATATGAGAATTCATAATTGGATGGCATGGGAGATAAACATTCATAAAGTCAATGCATCCTAATTAGATTTAATAAAAAACCAAGATGCAGAATCGTCACTCACGGAAGATACCTGTATTCTCTCTACCAAAATATTAATAAATAAAAAGAAACATTTTTTGTTCATGACCCATCGGTGCAAAGATTTTAGTTCAGTAACCATCTGAACTATAACATCTAGGATGGTCATTATAAAAGTGAATGCATATTCTAATTAAATTCATAAAAAGTCATGCAGATAAATCATAATGCACAAAATGAACTCACTCAGAAGTCAGAAATCACTTTTAGACTTTTCTTTCTTTCAATTTTCTGGAAAAAGAAAAAGAGTATGAAAAAATCAATCTCCGCAGAATCGTAACACAAACTAAGGATATAGAACGAAGCAAACACTCTCGTCTTCGTTAATGTCTCCTGCAACAAAACACCGAGAAGGAGAAAAAAAAACGATGTTCCACTGCAACAACGAACGCAAGCGCAGAAGCACACAGTATCAAAAGAGCAAAACCTTGAGAGAGAAGCTTCTCAACGGCGCGGTTAACGTCCATATCACATTCCTCGAGCACAGCGTAGATCTCATGGTCCGGACAGTCCACGATCTCCTTCACGCTCTGCATCACCTTCTCTGCCGCCGCCGACACGCCGCTCTCCGCAGCGACATGTTCTCCAGCGCCATAACCGTCGCCGTTCATGTTTGTTCTTTCACTCGTCGTTCGTCTCTCTCCGTTGTGCACAAATTTTGTCGCAGCTTTCTATCTCTTTCGGCGAGAATTTTCCGATCAAACAAACGGAACCTTTCCGCACACACAGCCTTTTTCAACCTCTCGCGCTTCGGCTTTATATATATAGCGGTTTTTTCTCTATCTCAGGTGGACTATGGTTGAGTAATCCACACAGTCACAGGGGCGCGCTGTTGTCACGGGCTGTCATGTTTAGGCTTCTCAATGGCCATGCTTGTTGTTGCCATTATTTCGCCACGTGTCTGGGAAATTATTTTTATTGGTTGATAGGGGAACAGTTGTCACTGACGTCTGAGATTAGGATCCTTCCATTGATGGAATATTTTAGATTTTCTTTCATATTTTAATTATTCTTATTCTTATTCCTTCGTATATAAAATAACTTTTTTATTTTAAATTTATTTTTATGTCCTCAAAATTGATATAAAATAACTTTTTTTATGTCTTAATTTAAAAGAATATGTTGTTTTAGTTTTTCCATCATTTAAATAAATATTTTGAAATGAGACATGAATGACATTACCTTTAATTATAAAATTTTATTACAAAAACAACGTAAATAAGGCTGTGAAATCTGTGTGTTCGATTTTTATTATGTCATGAGAACGTTATTATAATTTTTTTAAAATTGCTTAATTTATATATTAACTTGTTTATATACTAAAATTAAAAATACAAAACACAAATATAAAGAAAGAGATATAATTGAAGAAAAGAGAAAAATAATAAAAAATAGAGAGAAAATAATGGAAGAATAAAAAAAGAAAACTTGCTTATATTATGTAAGAAAAACAATTTATGTAAAGCAAATATTATAATATTATTATAAATAATTCGTAATTCATTAGTAAAGTAAATAATACATTTAGTCTTGGTTGGATAAAAGAGACTAACATAGATGTTTTAAAATAATAATAATAATAATAATAATAATAATAATAAGCTAAATTAATTCTAAAATGAAGAGACAAAAAATAAATCCGTTTCAAGTTTAAGAAACTAACTTAAGTTAAGTACACTAAATTATATATATATATATATATATATATATATATATATATATATATATATTTACAGCATTAAATAGTATAAAAATAACTGCTTGTTAACAATTAATACTCATTAATAAAATATAATAAAAAATGAGTTTGTTAAATAATTACATAAAATATTTTATATTAAAACGGTGTATAAATTAAACTATATTTCCTTAACTCTTTCTTCATCTTAGAAATAAAAAAGGTAATAATTAATACTTAATAAAATAACTATTTTATTATCTTGTTTAACTATTATTAATAAAAGAAAAGTATAGTTATGTCAAAAAATATTAATAACTATCTCGAGAATCATATTTATTATTGGTTCATGTTTATTAACAAATATAAATTTTGATAATGCCACTTATTATTTAATGAATTTAATTCATAATTTTGTAATTAAAAAAAAATATATATATATATATATATATATATATATATATATATATATATATATATATATAGATAGATAGATAGATAGATAGATAGATAGATAGATAGATAGATAGATAGATAGATAGATAGATAGTACAATAAAATATATTTTTTCTTAAATATTTATATGAAATATTTGACAGTAACGTGATATATAAATTAAACTCATTCTTTTAACGATTGCATCTTTTATTTGTTTTTTGAAAATAAGTATTGCATATTTAGAAATCGTAGGTAAAATTTCATGATATTTTTACATTATTTTTGTGGTATGTTAATAAAATATCTACATTTTTTTAATACAGTTTTATACTGTAAGTAAATAATTTAAGCATCAATATACTTAATTACTTAACTGATTTAGTAATACGTTAAATATAAGTATTGCTAAATTAAAGTAATCGATTGTCTAGATCATTTAGCTAAAATTACTTTATCATAATCAGGGATATTTAATTTCACCAATTAAAAATATAATTTCGTTAAAGTTTCAAGCAAAAAAAAATATCTTTCATCTAATGCTTAAACTAGTTATTTGATGTGATATTTGAATTTTCTTAATCTTAAAATAAAATAGCTCTAATATTAAAATATTAAATTTAACACTTTATAGTTGCATAAATAATATATTTTTCTTTTTTGTATTTTTATTTCTTAAATTGAAGTATTTTTTTTATTTTGATACTTTAGTATTATTAATTTTTAACCTTTTAAAATTTTAAAATATATTTTTAAAATATATATTATTTTTGTAGAAAAATTTGTTTATAAATATATGAGTTTGTAAAGTTTAACAAATTATATTTTTTAATTATATTTATTATAGGGAGAAGATATAACAAATTAATAATATTCTAATTGGAAACAAAATATTAAGATGGTAAGGATATTAATAAAAACAATATTAATAAATTTATTAAAAATAATAAAAAATAATATTTATATCTAATCTTAAAATGAAATATATTTTAAAATGGATGAAGTATATTTTAGTCACTAAACATTAAACTTAAAAAGTCTTATAATATTATATTTAACATAGTTGTATGTATAAATAATAATTTTTGAATTTAATTATATTTTTATTTTAGGAAATTGGAGTAATTTCGGTGTTGATGATCCTTAAATTTAAACAAACCTTTTTGTAACCATTAAAAAAAAACATTAAAACTGGAAAGTATAATTTTTTTCATAGTTTTGGATTTAAAATTAGTTTTAATTCTTTAATTTTCAATGTTTAGAAACTACTTTATTTAAAATAAATTAAAAATATAAAAATCAAAATTATCTTAAATTTTAGAGATTAAAAACATAATTAAATCTTTAGTTTTATTATAAAAATTTCTATTTTTTTAGCATAGAAATTGTGGCAATTATAGACAGTATATTTTGGAAATTGACCTCATGTTGAGTTTGAAATTGTGTTGATAAAATCATATGAAAAATCTTGGTTCCAATTATTTTAGGGTGTGATGTGATCATGGTTAGAATGTCCCTTTCCATGGATAGGTCATGACTTGTATGGCTGTGCATGGATGATCATATTATTCGAGGATAAAAAACTAATGGTCAAAGGTTCACGCATTGATCATGAAGATATTAGATTTTAATATATAATATATATCAAAAATTGAGTGAATTAAAATATATCACTTTTTTTTTCTATTTTAACTCGTCAATAAGGTATTGTTTATTATTTGACAAAATACTTTCTTCTATTTAAAATCTCCTATCATAGAAAATGCATTAATTATCTTAAAGAGTAGTTTATTCTAGTGAGATGCAAAATCGCTAGTAATAATATCAATAAAAAAACTAATTTATTTTAATTGAATTAATATTTATAAAAAATTAAATTAATTGAGAAAGTGTAATGTTGAACATACATGATATAATTTAATATAATTAACATGAGTCTATGATAAATTCGATTGAATGCTTATTTTGGTTTGATTTTTAGATTTAACAAATATGTGAACAGTTTAGAGAATTAATTAAATAAAAATCCATAATGTGAACTCCCATCCTTGGAAATTGTCGAGATTCATTTATTTGATTAATTAATATGAGCTAAGAATTGTTTTTGTTATTGTCAATTAGGTAAATGAGTAACATTTCTATAACTTGGGTATGTCTAAGAGTTGCTTCCTCTTTAAAAAAAAAAAAAAAAAGAAGTGAAATAAGGTCTTATAATGTCAAAACAATTTTTATTTAATAATAAAAATTTAAATAATTCTAAACAATTTACTATTTTAGATACTTTTTTATTAAATTTATACATTATAATATTTATTAATTAATAATTTATATAAAAATTAAATATATTTATAAAATAAATAATTAATTTTTTATAAGTAATTAATTAATTTTTTTATTTAAAATTAATTATTTTAGTTAATAATATATCATCATATTTTAATTTAAAAATAATACAAAATGTATAATATTTAAATAAATATAATAAAAATCAAATAACATTAAAAAATACATTACATAAAGTTAACTTTCATCCTTCTCTCCTCCAAAATTTTGCCAAATATATTCTACCTAATTTGTTTAAAGTTGATGGTGAGTGTCTTTATCTTGAACTCGTTACTCTTCTTTAAAAGTATATCGATTTAAAATTGGGATGAGAGCATGAAGACATATCTATAGTCGATATATCATTTTCTCTAATATCATAATTAATATGATTTTGATAAATGTATAATTTGTTTTCAACAATCATATTGTGTAATATGATACATACTTCTTCAATGTATGAGTATCCCAAAAAAGCACTGGACCACGCATAATTACAAATCAAGATTAGATGACTTCAAATGTACGTTAAACATCTTTTTTGCTGACTCTTGTCGTTAAGCAAATAATTCTCTTTTTTCATTATGGCATTGTAATTGTAACACCTCACAAATATGCATACCATAGCTATATAATTAAAATACACAAAGTAATTCAAAATTTAAATTTTCTCTACATAGGGAAATATATACATACATATATAAGACATCAAAAGTAATTAAAAATAAGTTTATACTACTCTTAGCTCTAGACATATTCCTATTGAGGTCTACCACATGTAACATTTGATCTCATGTAAATATACGATCATCAAAGTTCAAAACACCTAGGGTAAACTATTAATTCGATTTAAGTATGCAAAATTCAAATATGAGATAAAACAAAATAATTCAACTTCAAGTTTTTTATATGTTACATCACTTCCATACAGACTCACATTCACATCACATAAACACTAGACGACTTCTGAAAGACTAGATATTGAAATAGATACTAGAGATCTATACCTATCACACCACAACTCCCCAAGTGTGTAACATAAAGGTGCTTAGTTTGGTATATACACTCACATGTGATCAAGGTAAATTTTTAAATGACTTATCAAGACAGTTATGAAAGTGATGAATATCTTATTGAATCATTTAAACGAAGATCTTGTTGATTTGATGAAGTCAA